CTACTTGAAAATTAAACAGATTTGCTTATGTTTCACGGAGCAATTCTAAGAGGCCAACTTGAATTTTTCAACCCAAGACTTTCTAGTGTGAGTTGTGTTTTTTTCTTAGACGTGGCAAAAGGGGACGTTTGCAGAGGAGAAAATGGAAAAGTAAGTTTTGTTCTTGTAGATGAACCAACCTTTATTTTGTTAACGCATTGCTTGGGTTTCAGTTTCTCTGCTGGTGGTACTTGTTGGTTGGATGGTCTTTGAAATAGAGGGATTAGCAGGAAAAATTGGTAACAAGCAGATCACATATCTCAGTGGTAAGATCTGGGTTTATGCAAATGGAGGGAGAAGCACGGAAATGATGCTGCTCTCGTAGGTCAGACTAAAAATAAGGCTTTATTCATGCACTGGGCTCTCTGAAGATCTCTCCAATCTAACAGAACCACAGAATCTTCATGGTTGGAAAGTCCAACCATACACACACACACACAAAAACCCCCAATGATCTTGGGCACTAGAGCATGCCCTGAAGTGCCACATCTACATGTTCTCCAGGGATGGTGACTCCATAACCTCCCTGGGCAGGCTCTTCCAGTGCCTGACCACCCTCTCAGTAAAGTCATTCTTCCCAATATCTAATCTAAACCTCCCCTGCCCCAACTTCAGACCATTTCCTCTGCTCCTGTCACTATTCCCTTGGGAGAAGAGGCCAACCCCCACCTCTCTCCACCCTCCTTTCAGGGAGTTGTAGAGGGCAATGAGGTCTCCCCTCAGCCTCCTCTTCTCCAAACTAAACATGCCCAGTTCCCTCAGCCTCTCCTTGTAGGACTTGTTCTCCAGACCCCTCCCCAGCTTGGTGGCTCTCCTCCGGACACGGTCCAGCACCTCAATGTCCTTCCTGTGGTGAGGGGCCCAGAACTGAACCCAGCCCTCGAGGTGAGGCCTCACCAGTGCTGATCGCTTTATGCATTGCTTTAAGTTCAAGAGAGAGACTTACATTTTTATTTAATGGCAATTTATACTGAATTCTTTTTTTGTAGCACACGTTTCATCACCTGAGCAGTGGCCTTTGCTGTAGTCCTGCAGGAAGAAAACAACAGCAAATACTATTAAGAGGTGGTCTAGTGGGGAAGGCGGCAGTAAACAGTGCTTCCTAAAAGCAGATCATTTCTCTCTCCCTGATGGGCCACATCCAGTTTATAAAACACACATCAGTGCTTTTTATGAGCACATAATTTATGTTTTTACCTTTTTTTTTCCCCCTAACTATAAATGATTTAATAACAAACAATTAAATAGCCTAGACAGTCATTCAAAAAAGAAATGCTGCTTGTTTTGTTAGAAAATTCCCCCTAACTATAAATGATTTAATAACAAACAATTAAATAGCCTAGAAAATCATTCAAAAAAGAAATGCCACTTGTTTCATTAGAAAAATCGGGTTTTTATTATTAAAAAAAAAATAATTGCATTGACTTAAGAATTCCCAATCTAATAGTAATAAATTTCAGTTAGAAGTCATGGAAGGGAAGAACCTGTAATGAAAATTGCTGGCCACAAGCTTGGGAGGGATGCACATAAAAAGCTATCATTTTAAGAGTTGAAGTGAGTCTAGTTTGGTCAGCTATATTCCTTTAATTTAGTGAAGTACCAGGTGCACTCTTCCCTGTATTTCTTTCAGTTAGCAAAATTAAAAAGGTTGTGGAAAATACCTGTGAAATGGGTCAGTAGGACTCGGTGCTGATCAAGGAGCAGATGAATCCACCGTGGCCTCCTCGGGTACCTCCTCCTCCAGCTTCACCCCATAATAACCAACCACTTCCAGAAAGACTGTGACATTTTCAAAGAATCTTCTTAAATTTACCATTTCTGTTGCTCTCCTGTGCCAAAACAAGTGCAATATTCTTTACATGTGGCATCATCACATGTCCGGGTGGTAGTGTGATAAAATCCCTGCCCTGTAATTAATTTGGAAACGGGGAGATAATGTGTATTTTTGTGTGTGGTTTTTAAATGCCTCGGTATTTTCAGCTGCAGAGTGAAAGATTTCATGCCACGATGCACAAATTCTTACAGAGTTTGAGCATTTTAGTAAGAAATACAGTCGTTAAGATTGCCAGTTAGTGTCAGGTAAAATGTTGGGTTCTCAAAATTATCCACATTTTTGCAGTGTTTTCTGTTCTTGTCCTCTCCCTGAGGCCAGTAAATCTCTCCAGCCCTTCCCCTCCTCCTCAGCTCTTATTTTTTTTCTTTAATGAGAGTGTAGCTTTGCAGTTGGATTCTTTTTAGATTCTCTGAAATGCACGTAGATAGGCATCTCGTAAGAAAGAAAAATAAAAGCCCAAGCACGTAAGTAGGAAGCAACCCACAGCGTCGCTGCAGAACGGGAGGTTGAGGAGTGGATGTAGTGTGGAAAATCACAAACCCTACCTTGTCATTGCAGGTGAGCACCCTGGGATGTGCTTCATCTCATCACCTTGCTTGGTAGGAATATAATTAAATGTGAAGTTTTTATTCTACATCCTACTAGAATTCTGTTCACCTCACTGACTTGTATATATTTAAAAAAATGAATGTATTCACTCCATGGAATGTGTAAGTCTTTGCAGCACATGCTATAAATTTTATTTATTAATTTCAAACAGGATAAAGGCGTTTCCAGGATAAATAGAATGTAGGTCTCATCATGTGACTGCAGGAGTAGGTGGCTACAAGGAGCCATCTGAAAAATGACTTTAGCCACTTGGTCATTCTTAAAAGAGCTCTTAGATTGGGCCACGCATTTAATTCTTGTGCTCCTCCCAGCCCCCTCTATCCCACGGCAAATTAGTTACCTGTAAATGAGTTTCCTCTTGTAGTTGCAGGGAGGCTGATGCAGTGATGAATTTCTGGTGTTCCATGTATATTAAGTTTTTGTTTTACGCTCTGCGGGGAATTGTGGAAAGGAACGGAATTCCTCTCAAAGCAGCTACTGTGGAGGGAGTGGTGGTATGTGGTCCTTCTGGGTCTTTTTCCTGTTTGGCATCATTTTGGGGGTAATATCAGTTTATTTCATTGAGTCAGAGTTCACTCTAAATGTGAGTTTTATGTTTACGTTAAGTATTTTTCATCCCAAGTTCACAGCATGTTGGTGTTGAAGCTTATGGCTCCCCCTTGTTTGTTTGCCCTGCAGGATCCGCGTCCCCTTTTAACGACCTTCTGCATTATCATTCATCTTGGAGTTAAAATTTTATAAGTGTTTTAAAGTTTTGCTTCTGATTTATTTATTATTTTTTAAATTAAATTTTAGCAATACAGTTGATATATCCATTTGGGTTTGCAGAAGTGATCAAGGCAGTACATAATAGCCCAGCAGAAGAATTAAAATTTCATTAATATAAGGTCGGGACCTTTTCACTTCTCTTGTGAGCAGCTCTCAGTAAATGTTGTTCCAGAGAGGGACCAGGATGCTTTTCAAGTCCAGGGTGGTGGTACTGGAGTGTTTTTACATTTTATTTATTTTTTTCAGAAATGTAGCCCTGAATTAATTGACTTTTATTATTAGGCAGCTGGTGATCTCCAGGTGATGCTTTGTAGCATTTGCTTCTCACACCTCTAGGTCATAATATTTATATCTTCTCATTCTGAACATGAGAACCGTTAATATGTCAATATTAATTAAATAGTAATTAAACAAATGTTACAGTTTCTGCAGAGGAGTGTAGTGCCATCAGCATTCATTGCTGTCTCCTTTCTCTCCCCCAAGGCCCTCCCCATAGTTTGGAGGCTGATGTCCCCTCTGCAGGAAGGAGGGAGAAGAAGTTTATTTGAATCTCTTGGGAATTTAAACACAGAAAATGACCGCTGACCAAAATATTCTCCAGTTCCTCAATCAAAACAAGGAAAAAAAGATTTTCGAGCTGTATTCAGTTGAGTAACAGACTAAATAGCGGAGGGTTTCTTAGAGGTCAACGGTTATTTTTAAGATGATGGAAAGTCTTAAATGCTCCCTGCTGTTTATGGCATGTGTTGCCTTCTCTGGTTTTAGTCCTTGTTTTAAGGAAGTCTTTGGGAAGTTGAAGTGTTTGTTGTAGTGTATTTGATGAGCCTTTGTGGCTGGAGTTCAGTATTTAGAAAATAGTTTGCTCTTTTCCTAATCCTCTTCCATTTAGGGCAGGGTTATCTGGTGTATTATTATGTATGTCCTACTTCAAACAGCATTTTTTTGATACGCGGATGCTTTTCTTGCAGTGCACACAGTGTTCCTGCCCTCCTACCTTCAAACCTTTTTATTTAATCCCTTAGTTTATGTAAGATTACTCTCTAATGACTTCATCTGTAATGAATATGGGTGGTAGGACCCACTCTGTTGTACCAGTGGAGGATCAGGGGTTGGTGCTGATCACAGGGGCGTAACGTTCTTCGCTCCTGGGGAGTGTTTAAGGTTTGAAGTCCCTTGGGAAAATTTACTATAAGGATTCTTTCCCATAACATGCTCTTTTTAATTTGTTGGTATTAAATGCAGATCCAAAATGGTCAGTTTTGGAAACACTGGCTGGTTTGATCCTGGCCTTGTGTTTTCTACTTTTTATTTTACTATTGAGTCATTTTAGTTGTATATTTTAGCTAACACTGAACCAAGCTGCCGCATCAATACTCTGCCGTCTGTAAACTTTAATCTGGATTCTCATAAAATTCCCTTTTGTCAATACCAGCAGTCAAAAAGAACAGAAACTCCATTCAAACCTAATGCTCTCTTCAGCACTAGGGGTTTGTTTTCAACTGAGAGAGTGAGAAGAGAGTTGAAAATCTGCCTGTAAATTTTTTAAACATATTCCATGTAAGTAATCAAAAGATGGTCTTTCATTTTTGTTTGTTTATTTTCGTACCTAAACGTGTATTACAATCAGGAGGAAACTGAATGTTGTTTTAATGCTTTCAGTAAAAGACTGGTAGAAAAATAGCTTTTATCCTTTTTTCATCCTTTAAAATCAATATTGATAGAAACTATCGTAATATGGTTTGTGTTACAGGTGGTGTAATACCAAGGGCTGTACTGCTGCCACATCTCAATTTTGTGGGGTTTCAGAGAGTAGTTCTGGTAAGGACACTCAATGATTTATCTATTTATTTGTCATAAAAGTGGAGTGAGAGTTTGGTACGATGCAGTATTAGTAATTGCAATTCCATGAATTTACAGTATTTGTTAGGTATCGGCTCCGCTGAGTCTTTACATTAAGTGTTCTTTTAGTCAATGGTCTTTAACAGCTCCTTTTGGAGCTGTTATTGTCTCCTGTGTAAATTCCTATCCATTTCCTTGAGAGTTGTTATACCATCAAATCACAGCACGGAAATATTACTAGACAGACCTTTTAACAAAACACCTTGTAAAAACTGTATTGCCTACCTGAAGCTGGGAGTCAATTGCCTTAGTGTGTATCAGTTTTTTAAAAAAGGGGAAAAAGTTACTGTGTTTTGATTATAGTATGGATTTTTTCAAGTACTAAAGTCTTGGCTTCCTAAAGGGAACTATGAATTTGTGGTTCAGAGGGCAAATATCCAGACCATGAGCTGTTACTAGTCTCCTCTTCTTAAATTTAACGTAGAGCCACGATTTTGCAATTGTTTTCTTTAGGTGTATGTAACTGCAATCCCTCTATCGTTTCTTTTGATTTTTGCCTACTTTCCTTAAACAGATTTTCTTATCTCTTCTCCAAGGCTAGACTTACAAGATGAGATTACTTTACTTTTCTCTAATAAAGGGAAAATTCATTCTGAGCCAGTCTACCGCCAGCCCTGCTGAAGCCTTGTGCAAGAGCACAATTGAGTATTTGTTCTTTCAGCAGCGGATAACTGATACCACATTTGTATCAGTAGAATTTTTAATATATGCTGTAATTTAACAAATGTCTGGTGGGTGTAGTTTTTTTTTTTTTTTTTCTTTATTAAAAAAACCCCTCACAATCCCTTGAAGTTGTTAGGAAGCTCTATTTGTGGACTATCTCAGGTCTATAGAGGGCACTCAAAGCCAGAGGGAATTTGTTTCAACAAACCTTGCCTTGCAAGTAGGGCCCACATGAGGTGGAGGAGGATGTTGCTGACTGTTCTTCGTGGCCTTGCTCTTCCAGGGAGCTCTTGTGCTGGCTCTGCCCCAACAGATCACTTAAGCAGTGGAAGTCGGTGGGACTAGAACACATTTAAATACTCTTCTGGATTGATCTGTATCTACATATATTTTCCACAAGGGGTGGTACTTTCTTGTGTGGGGTACACAAGAACTTCTTAATGGGATTCTCTGCTTAACCTAAGAATCCAGTAGTAGATCTTTCTGTGTTGGAGATAGGGTGAGGGTGGAGCTCGTTTGGGAAGGCTCTGGAGGTTGATAAATTAGGGAGGCAAAAGGATGCTATTTGAAGATGCTACCGAGTTGGTGTAAAGACTGAAGGCATTTTCTCTGCTGTCATTGCATTAGTCATTGGGTTGTCTCAGTTGGAAGGGGCATTTCAGATCATCAAGTCCAACCATCAACCCAACACTGACAAAACCACCACTAACCCATGTCCCTCAGCATCACGTCTCCCCTTCTTTTAAATACCTCCAGGGATGGTGACTTCACCACTTCCCTGGGCAGCCTGTTCCAATGCTTACACCCATTTTTTATTTTTCCTAATATCTATCCTAAAACTCCCCTGGCACAACTTGGGATGGTTTCCCCCTTGTCCTATCACCTGTGACTTGGGAGAAGGTCTCCCCTCAGCCCCCTTTTCTGCAGGTTCCCTCAGCCACCCCTCACAGGACTTGTTCTAGATTGGTCAACTTAAAATATTTGGGCATGGTACATCACACTGTGTGGTTTCCAGCCCTATAGGTACTTTGAGCACACACAAATAATGTCTGTAGACCTACATTAGAGTTTCTAAACCTTGGAACGGCAGAAAATAGGCTTTCAGGCTGATGCGAGAGAAATGGCATTGTGAAGTCTGGAGTAGCATTACTCAAGAATGTTAAACAGCAATTCTGCAAAGTAAAGACATCACAGCTTTATAAATATTGTAAGAAAAGAAAGATGATGGGAGCTCTTTGGAGTCTGAGAAATGCCGAAAATTTTTCAAAATGTTGTGAGCAATTTGTGCCGTGCTTATTAAAGTATAATGTCGTCTGGAAAAGTCAGGGACTCCTCTCTCTCTCAAAAATCTCTTTATTTTCAAATAATGCTCCTATTACTGGAAATGGGTGAGCAGAATTTTTCAGATGTGGAACCTGTTATTCCAGTGTCTGAGGGAAGGGAAAGATAACCTAACACTGTGAGTTTCTGGGGTTTTTTTGAACGAGCCGTCGTATCTAATCTGTAGTTACTGTGATTGCTTAATTCTGCAGAAGATGGAGGTCATTTGTGGGACACTTTGAGGACCATTTGGTGTAGCTGCCTATGTAATAGTCCACAGTTAGAAGACACGATGTATTTCCATCTCTGCCAGTGTTTTAACTTGACTAAGCAAAACTGTGACCAGGTTTCCAACTGTGCCAGTAGAGGAGACCATTTAATCCAAAATAGCACCTTCTGCTGAAGGAGGGGGATCGTTATCAGACAGATGATGTATCTCTAGGTTTCAATAGTTTGCTTCAAAGGGGATTAATTCAAAAATTAGTGAGAACAGATGCCTGATGTTGGCCTGAGCAGTCAGGAAGAAGAGGAAATGTCCTGGGTTTGAACTTTTTATCTTAATTGGATCCTTTTTGGCTTTCAGCCTGTTTGATAAGAGTTTCTTCAGTAGACTCTCCTGTTCGACTGTACAAAGCAAACAGTTTTACATTTTAAGATTTTTATGCGTGTGTATGGGCACTCATGCAGGCATTTGCATACAGCTTTGAAGGATGCTTCCCTCACAAAACAACCTTCATATACAACAGGCTACTTTGGAATAGCTTTTTTATATCCCGTGTGCTATACAGAAAAGCAGAAATAGTGTTCTTTTAAACCATCTTTTAATATTATTTTGAAACTTACTGCCTGTCCCTCTATAGATGTGTTCAGGTTCCTTTTGCTAGTCAGACCATGTAGTGCCAAATTAGCAAGAAGAACATTTCTTTAATCTTCTAAGATCAACAATGCAATTGCTTCTACTGGTACAGGTGACTTTACAAGGTGTAGGAACCATCCAGGGCTGTGGTGTGGCAGGTGAGTTCATCAGATCTCTGGGAATTTTTCCTCCCCAGTAGTATAAATACGCCTCTAGACTTAAAACACTGATGAAGTACCAGAACTTGGCATTCGTTCAAAGTTGTCCTTGGTCTAGGATAATTTGAGTTAGGTGAAATATTCCATTTTTTCAGGGCGTTCTGTAAAAGAAAAGACTGATCTTGATGATTCAGATGTTGGAACGGCTCCCAGGAAAAAAGAAAAAAAAGGATATATTGCAGGGTATGGAAAGTCTGGTCAAGGATTATGAGTGGATTGCATGTCTTTTCTATGTACTAGAGGTATATCACCTCAGCATATATACTATTCTGAATATTCTGCCAAAAGACCCTTGATAGAACTTCATTTAGAGAAGAAATAAGCAGATGCTGAAGGCAGGAAGATGAACCAACTTAATGTCTAGATGACCTTTGGAGGCACGAGTGAGTTTTTCATTAAATGTATATACCTGAAGGGAAAAATCAATACTATTTCTTATGGAAATTTGGGTATAGCTAATAGAGATGGAGACATTCTCTGCCAAAATCCATGGCACTGAGGCCTAGAGCATATAGTTTTTGCTCGTGACAGCACACAGTCAAACTTGGAGGTGTGGTACCGAGTAGGATGCAGAGATTGAATGTCTGCAGTGAAGGTGGTTATTGTAACAGAAACTGAAAATTAGATAAATTAAGGCAAGAGATACTTGCAGGTTTGGAGAACAATCTGGCTTTTGTTGTGGAATTACTAGGGGTGAGGTGTTTTTGTTGGAGCTACCTGTGTCCCGGCAAAGGTCTCGTGTCTGAAGCTCAACTTCTTGTGTATTTGAGTGTCCAGTGCCATGATGGAAGCTGGACATGGGCTCTGCAAGTCACTCCATTGCCCCTCCCAGCCTTTGGTCATTGCCAGGTCACCCAGCAATGCCCAGTGGTTTATTTAAGTTAAAAGTTAAGCAGTACTCTTTAATCTTTACATCTTTGTAAACCCAACGTCTTGGGTGGTTGTCGCTTTATTTCTCTGTTACTTCACAGTAGATGACATCTGTATTGCAGATGGGTATATAGTGCTGTGAAAGAAGAAATGAGAATTTTATGTTAGTCTCACGTTGTTGTTATTTTAGGTTGTAACTAGAAAACAGGACAAGTACGTTGATCATTCTGTGTCACAGCCAAAGACAAACAAATCAGTGCGAGCTGTCTGCGGCTGCAGTCGCTCATGGGTGGCAATGCCCAGTCTCCTTGGAGGGCTGAAATCAGGGATATTAAACTCTTGCTGTAATACTTGATTTAAAGTCAGCAGATAAGAAGAGCTTTGACTCTTTGAATACCAAAAATAGTGTTTTTCAGACAGTGTTTCTTAATTGATTTCATGCGTTTTGAGAGACACCTCGACTGGGTCTTGGGAGTACCCAGAAAAGGGAAGCAATTCGAGTCCTGTTCTTTGTTAGAAGTCAATTCCAATGAGGCTTAAAAGTGATTTAGGTGCTTCTGGAAAATTTGACTCCCTAATTTCAAAGTCCACCTGAAGTTATATCTTGAGGTGCTAAAGTTGGTTGGTTTCTGATCCGCCGCAATGCTCCTTTTTCTAAAATAAACTTGTAAGTGTTAAATTAATTTTAATTAGTACGTCTCTCTTTTCTAAGAAATGCTCTGATTTCGTAATTTCTTCCTGATAATTAATCTTTAATTAAAAAAAAAAAAAATCCTGGGTGAAGATGGTTTCATACTGCCCTTTTGCACTTGATCTTGTTTGCATTGGAAGCTGGTTTCTGTCATTTCAGGTCAGAGACTGCGCCAGAACAGGTTTTGAACAAAATGTGCTTGATTATTCCTGAACAAAAATGTGCTCCGGTTCTAATACAGCTTTTAAAGACTCTGCACTGTGGTTTGCACTTTTTAATGCTGTTGTTGCATTTAGTTTTA